ATCAGCATACATTAGGCTCAACTAGTATTTTAGGTTAATTTCATGGTAATTTCCATTTTGGGTCAATATCTCCTTGAAATCATAATTTTGGGGGGATGATGTCAATGAGAAATGTATTCCTCGTAAATTTTCACTATAGATCAACGAACAAAAGAAATCGATAGCTCGACTATATATCAATAACATTTCGGGATAATTTATGGACAACTTTTATTTTGCGGTAATTTCATAGTGTTATCAATTTTGGCTCCATATTTCCCTTTAGATTCCATTTTATGCGGATGATATGCATGAGAAAAATATTCCTTATAAAATTTCACTATAGGTCATCGAACAACTAAAATCGGTAGCTATACTATATATCATGGAAATATTAGCTTAAATTTTGTACAACTCACTAACAGAGTAATTTTCATAGCATTTTACATTTTGGGCCAATATCTCCTTCAAATCATAATTTTAGGAGGATGATGTCATTGAGAAATTTATTCTTCATAAAATTTCACTATAGGTCACCGAACAAAAGAAATCGGTAGCTATACTATATATCACAGGAAAATATTAGCATACATTAGAGTCTACTACTATTTTAGGTTAATTTCGTGGTATTTTCCATTTTGGGCCAATATCTCCCTCAAAACTTAATTTTGGGGCAATAAAGTATGTGACAAAAATATTCTCCATAAAATTTCACTATAGGTCTTCTCACAAAAGAAATCTATAGCTCGACTATATAATCGGAAAAAAACCATAATTTTATTCTTACGCTTCAAAACATGGCCAAATGGTACCATGTAACGTATAAGTAGTGACGTTAATAATACGCCACCCATACGCCATGCAATGACATTTTGAGAGAGAAAATACCTCAAATACAATTTTGTTTTAATTATTTTCATTTTTTCTTGTGCATTTTTTTCTTCTTCTTCTTCCTCAATACCCCACATCGAATCCGTGCTGTAAACCGCTAAATAATGCAAGAGGTAAAATTACCATTCAGCAATTAATAAATAAATAATTTATTAATGGAATATTTTGCGCACATTCAACAAGGTTGCTTTTGTTTATTTTTGGAATTTGGAATACAAATAGAAACAACAATAACAACAAATGGAATCGATATAAATAACAACAAAATTGGACACTTGTACACAACAAAAAAAAATAATCAAAACTAAAAAATATGGAAATAATCAAAAAAATAAAATATTTTTAATATTTATAAAAATTGCAATCTCGTGACTAATATTTAATGGGTTTGTGTAGAAAATTTTGAAAACTTGTAAATATTTCAAGGTCCCTAAAATATGGCAATAAATTTACATTAAAATGTCAAGACATAGGGGTGGCGTATAATTAACGGCAATACTTATACGTTACGTGGTACCATTTGTCTTGGTTTGAAGCGTATGACTAAAGTTATATTTTTTCCGGGTATATGGCGGAGCTACCAATTTCTTTTGTATGGAGACCCATAGTGAAATTTTATGGGGAATATTTTTGTCATTGGTATAATTCGCCTAAAATTAGGATTTAGGGGAGATTTTGGCCTATAATTACAAATATCCCAAAAATTACCCACACAATGTTTGAAAGAAATGTATGTGGATTTTTTCCTGATATATGGTATAGCTACAGATTTTCTTTGTTTGGGGACCCATAGTGAAATTTTATGAAGAATATTTTCCTCATTCGTATTATCCTCCTATAATGACTCCTTGAGGGAGATTTTGGCCCAAAATTGTAAAATACCACGAAATAACCCCGAAAAATGTTTGAAAACAATTTATTGGAATATTTTCAGGACATATACGGATAACTACGGATTTATTTTGTTCGGAGGCCCATAGTGAAATTTTATGAGGAATATTTTTGACATCGACATCATTTGTCTAAAAATGGGATTTAGGGGAGATTTTGACCTGTAATAAGAAATACCACGAATTTAACCAAGAAAATGTTTGGAAAAAATGTATGCTGATATTTTCCTTATATATAGTATAGCTACGGATTTCTCTTGTTCGGAGACCCATAGTGAAATTTTATGAAGAATATTTTCCTCATTGGTATTATCCTCCTATAATGACTCCTTGAGGGAGATTTTGGCCCAAAATTGAAAATACCACGAAATAACCCCGAAAAATGTTTGAACACAATTTATTCGAATATTTTCAGAACATATACGGATAGCTATGGATTTCTTTTGTATGGGGACCCATAGTGAAATTTTATGAGGAATATTTTTGACATCGACATCATTTGTCTAAAAATGGGATTTATGGAAGATTTTGGCCTGTAATTAGAAATATCACGAAATTAACCCAGAAAATGTTTTGAAAAGATGTATGCTAATTTTTTTCCTGACATATAGTATAGCTACGGATTTCTTTTGTTCGAAGGCCCATAGTGAAATTTTATGAAGAATATTTTTCTCATTGATATTACCCTCCTATAATGAATCCTTGAGGAAGATTTTAGCCCAAAATTGTAAAATACCACGAAATAACCCCGAACAATTTTTAAAAACAATTTATTCGAATATTTTCTTGATATATAGTGTAGCTGCGAATTTTTGTTTTTGTTCGGAGACCCATACTGAAATTCGATGGAGAATATTTTCCTCATTAGCATTAATCTTCTAAATCGAAGCCTTAAGGGAGATATTGGCCCAACATTTAAATACTATGGAATTAACCCAATATACCTGTTGATCCTTATTAATGCTGATGTTTTCCTGATATATAGTATAGCTACGGATTTCTGTTGTTCGGAGACCTATAGTGAAATTTTATGAAGAATATGTTCCTCATTGATATCGCACTTCTAAAACGATGTCTTAAGGGAGTTATTGACCCAAAATTGTAAATACTAAAAAATTTACCCAACATAATAATTTTCGGTAAAAATTTATTTTGATTTTTTCTTGTTATATATAATAGGTACGGATTTCTTTTGTTCGTGGACCCATAGAGAAATTCTATGGAGGTTATTTTTTCATATACATCAACCCGCTAAAATAAGGATTTGTGGGAGATATTGGCCAACAATTGAAAATTCTATAAAATTAGCCCAAACAATTTTTGGTCAAAATGTATGCTAATATTTTCGATATATATTGTATAGCTACGGATTTCTTTTGTTCGGAGACCCATAGTGAAATTCGATAAAGATTAATTTTTTCATTTATATCAACCCGCTAAACTAAGGATTTGTGGGAGATTTTGCCAAAACAAAGCTGAAATATTACGAAATTAACCTCAAATAATTTTTGATCGAACTCAATGCCGATATTTTCCCGATATACAATATAGCTACGGATTTCTTTTGTTCGGAGACCCATAGTGAAATTCAATGAAGAATAATTCTTTCATTTACATCAACCCGCTAAACTAAGGATTTGTGGGAGATTTTTAGTCAAAATGAAAAATACTACGAAATTAAGCCATCATATTTTTCGACACATTTTTTTTTCAAGAAAATTGCCAGATTTTTTTAAGAGCATATTATGAAGTTAGGGGAAGTGTCCGGATTTTCTTTTTTTTTGTTTTTAATACATATTTTAATTTTTTAATATTTTTCGTAACCGCTAACATACATACATACACACACACACCACTATTTTTCCTATGCCGCATCCTTCTTTTTTTCTCTCTCCTCCCTCCTCCTTCCTTCTTACCCCAATGTTAAGGATGCTATAAATTTCGACCAGTTTATAATGTCAAATATATTATGGCATACTAAAAATAATATTAGCCTAGACACCAATCAAATTTCTGTTCTAAAATGTAGAGTAGTATAACAATAATGTATAACAGTTTTATAAGTTTGCTATAATAAATAATTTGCCATAAAAATCACAAAAACCTTGACTATAAAAAAATTCAAATAAGAAAATAAGAAAATTAATAAAAAATATTACGGCTGTTCCATTATTTCAAATTAATAAAGGAAATAAATCTAAAACCCATTTCGAAATATAATATTTTTGTAGCTTCTGTGACAGTGTCATAATTAATTAATTTCTTAGATATTTAATTTTATTTAATAATAAATATTTATTCTAATAATATTGTTAATCCTTCCTGTAAATAATTTCCATTTGTAATAACGCTTTACTGCATCAATTTCCACAAAATTTTCCAATTTCCCATGCCAATTAATAACAATTGTTGCATTTTGCCATACGTCTTTGCCACAGTAGCCATCCCTCAATCACCAAGCATTACTCGAGAAGGCTATCAATTCACTGTGAATTGCAGCTCACATATGGCTTGTCAGTCTGTTGGCTGTTCTACGCATTGAGTCTTGCATCTTCCAAACAAATTACATTTTTTTTAATAAATTTAACGTTTTTTAAGCCCTAAAAACATAAACAAATACAAAAAGTAAGTGGCAGCTGTCAAATAAAGAAATAAACAATTAAAAATTCACAAAAATAAAGCAAAATAAATCTCACTGAAGCATGTCGTCCTCGTACTCTATGAAGGCGACGTGACTTTTTTTGCTTTGATTACATAAAAAAATCGGAGGAAAAGGAGGACAAAAACAAAACAAAAGTGAACAAACAAAACAAAGAAATAGGGGGAAAAGGAAGGAAACAACAAACAAAACAATAACATCATCACTGTGTATTTTTAGGCTTGCTGGCTGTCTGTCTGTTCCTGTCTGTTGGGCAATTGCACATACACTTGTTGTTGTTATGTTAGAACTTATGGAAACCGCATCAGGCGGTGGAAAATAAAAACAACAAGACGAAACAAAAAAAAAACACACAAATCACACATCAAAAAACAACGCAAAGGAGAAGGGGAGAGCAGCAAACGAGGTGGGCAATAATGAACTTGAATATGAAGAAAAACTTGTATTTTTTTATTTTTTTGTAAAAATACAACGCAATATCTATTTTCAGAACCTTACCGAAAAATAAAAAAATCGCCAACAATTGGAAAAAGGATTTCTGCTGAAAGCAAAGGTTTTCCTAATTGGTAGCTGCCGTTTTGGGCCGTTGCAGTAGTGGTGGTCAGCATGTCTGTACGTTTATTGACCTCGCGACTTTTTAAACATGGTCGTTTTTTGCTCCAAAGCTATTGGAAGAGAGATATACACACCAACATTTTGGAACAAAATCAACAACGAACCCGTCAACAACGTGTACCACCGATAGCAGCATCGGTGGGTAAGGTAAGCCTTGACAACATTATTTGTTAAAATTCTGGGTAAAAATATGTCTTTCCAGAAATCCGCTGCCCGTGGTGCCATAAATGCCGTAGCTGGTAGCTCCAAAGCCGGTGTTGCCACCGGCCAATTGGCCGCCAATGTACCCCATTCGGCGGGCATTTTCCGCTTTGGCCAACAGGCCCGCAAGCTGTTCATTGATAACATCTTAAATCGTGTCACCACCACCTATTCAGCTGAGCTAAGGACCCAGGCCACCAAAAAACTATTCTATGGCGATTCGGCACCATTTTTCGCCCTCATAGGTGTCAGCCTTGCCTCTGGGGCTGGAGTCCTCACAAAAGAAGACGAGCTCGAAGGTGTCTGTTGGGAAATACGAGAGGCAGCAAATCGTCTACAAAACTCATGGAACTATGATGAAGTATCCGAGACCTTAGATACCTCATTTAGTATTGATAAACTCTCAATTGGTCCCGCCATTGCCAAAGGTTGTGCCGCTGTGGTCTATGCTGCTTCCTTTAAAAATAATTCCACTTTAGATTGTGCACCCGAAGCACCGGAAATTATTGGCTCACCCACAACATCGGAACATAATTCTCCTGCAGGACGTCAGCCACAACCATTGCATCAACAATCCTTCCGTCCGGAATATATTACGCCCATCCAGAATATATCGCGTTTTGTTCACAATTTTGGTGGTTCTGTCGATAATGTCCAGTTGTTTAGTCAAACATCGGCGGCAGCACAATTTCGTGATGTCTTGGAGGCGGAACGTAAGCTGGAGGATTTAAATCAAAGTAAAGATTTTAAGTTGAGCGGAAATTCGGAAGTGGAATTTTCGGGTGTTAGTAGCGGTACAATGGGATTGGTGAGTTGAGGGAATTTTTAATATTTTTTTTCGAAAGCAAAATTCGGAAGGCTATGCAGTCGCTCCTGGGAAGACTTCTATAAGTACAAGACCCTCCTGGAAGAAAACTCTTCTGAGAGGATTTCTATAAGTACAAGAGGCTCATGAAAAGTGTTCTATATGTATAAGCCCTCCTGAGAGGTCTTATAGAAATAGAGGACCCTCTTCAAAGGGCTTCTAAAAGTAGAGGACACTCTTAAGATGTCTTCTATAAGTACAGGACCCTTCTGAGAGGTCATATATTAGTAGCAGACCCTCCTAAGAGGTCTTCTATAAATATAAGAGGCTCATGAAAGGTGTTCCATAAGTATAAACCCTCCTGAGAGGTCTTATAGAAGTAGAGGACCCTCTTGAGAGGTCTTATAGAAGTAGAGGATCTCTTAAAAAGCCTTCTAAACGTATAGAAGCCTCCTCAAAGATCTTATATTAGTAGAAGACCTTCCAGAGAGGTCTTCTATAAGTACAAGACCCACCTGAAAAGTTTTCTATAAATAGAAGTCCCTCTTCAGAAGTCTTCTATTGGTATATGACCCTCCTGAGAGGACATTTATGAGTATAAGATCCTGTAGAGAGGCCTTCTATAAGTAGAAGATCTTCCTGACAGGTCTTCTGTAAGTATAAGACCCACCTGAGATGTATTCAATTAGTAGAAGACCCACCTCAGAGGTCTTTTATGAGTAGAATATCCTCCTGAGAGGTATTCTATAAGTAGAAGACCCTCCTCACATGTCTTCTATAAGTAGAACGCCCTCTTGTGAGGTCTTTTATGAGTAAAATACCTTCTTAAGAGGTCCTAAAACACTCCTGCGAGGTCTTATATTAGTATTAGACCCTCCTGAAAGGTCTTATATGAGTATAAGACTCTCCTGAGAGGTCTTATGTGGGTATAAGAGCCTCCTGAAAGGTCTTCTATTAGTAGAAGACCCTCCTAAGAGGTCTTCTTTTTATTTTTACCCTTTTAGATTAAATCACTTTTTCTTCCTCCTCCTTCCAGCAAACAATGGACACCTCTGCCACAAATGCCAATATCCATCGCTATCCTTTGGCCCTGAAAATGATGTTTAACTATGATATCCAAAGTAATGCCTTGGCCATTCTACGAGCGATGTATAAAGAAACTGTCCCAGCAAGGCAACGATACATCAACGAAGCGGCCGAATCATGGGAACAACATTTACAAGATCAAACCCTTACCCTACCACCACATCCAAATATTGTCTGTATGTACGGATTCTTTTGCGATGAAGTTGGTAATTTCCCAGATGGTCATTTACTCTATCCGATTGCCCAACCGCAACGCATTAACCCCAATGGCTATGGGCGCAACATGTCATTGTATTTGTTAATGAAACGTTATGATTATAGTCTGAGATCCTATTTGGATTCACATCAGCTGTCGACACGTTCGAAATTGTTGTTGTTGACCCAATTGTTGGAAGCTGTGGCCCACATCAGCCGTCATGGTATTGCTCATCGTGATATTAAATCGGATAATATTTTAATTGAACTGAACGATGATGATTCTCCTCCGATTTTGGTATTATCGGATTTTGGCTGCTGTCTGGCTGATCGTATTCATGGTCTACAAGTGCCTTATACCTCATTTGATATTGATAAGGGTGGTAATGCTGCGTTGATGGCCCCGGAAATTATCAACAAGCAACCAGGACCATTTGCGGTATTGAATTATTCGAAGGCCGACTTGTGGGCTTGTGGGGCAATTGCCTATGAAATTTTTGGTATGCGTAATCCATTTTATTCCGCCAGTGGTGGTCGAGCGGTGGAGACATATTCTCTACGCAACTCGGATTATAAAGATGATGATTTGCCCGCGCTGACAGAGGAGTGTCCCACCTTGGTGCAACAATTAATTTACAATATCCTATCGCCGAATCCATCGAAGCGTGTGAGTCCTGATATTGCTGCTAATGTCATGCAATTGTTTTTGTGGGCACCATCCAAGTGGTTGAAGGTGGGCGGTATGCCCAATAGTGCAGAGGTGAGTAGGATAAATTAATTTTCTTATCAGGAAATTTTTAATAAATTCTCGCTTTTCAGATCCTCCAATGGCTTTTGTCCCTGACCACCAAAATAATGTGTGAGGCCAATTCCCAGCCGGTGCCCCACCTTGGCAGTTATCAGCAATCTGGTAGACGTACTTATGTAGAGTATTTGTTGATATGCAGTTTCTTGGCCCGGGCCAGGCTACGACGCATACGAGGTGCCCTCAATTGGATACAAAGTACGGTGGCTTAAATTCCGAACCGAACCCAAGGAAACGAACGAGCGTAGCTTCTACTCCTAGCCCCCTTAGCTTTTGGATTAATTTCAAATTTTTGCAAAAAAAATTTCTCACTCAAACAAAAGTCTGGAAATGAAAACGTTAAAAACAAAATACATTTGTGTGATATCTAGGATTTTAAAGAAAACAAAACAAAAAAAGAAGGAAAAGCGAAACAAAAGAACTATTTTATTTTTTGTGTGTAAAAAAAAAGAAAATCTAAATCTATATATTTTTCATATGAATTATTTGTATACAACAACACGATTGTTTTTTTTTTTTTAATTGTCAGCGAAAAAATCTACTTCTATTACTACTTTAAAGGCTTCTTCTACTAACACTAATTGTATTAATTATTAAATATTATAATTTTTTTAATTAGTTTCCATTAAATACTGCTTAAGTAAAAGACACCATCTACCCGGCAGATGATATCGGAAAAAACGATATCCGAAAAAATGCCACAACTAACTAACCGGCAAAAATTCAATATTTACCCCCTTATGAAAAGAAAAGTGAAATGCTTTATTTCCAAAAAGGAAATCGAAAAGAAAGTAACTAAAATGAAATAAAAAGAAAAAAACTTTAGCAACTAACTGGATTTTTTTTTAGAATTTAGAAATTATATTCTAAGAGGCCTTCTAAAAGTGAGAAGAGCCTTCTGAGTGGTGTTCTGTAACAAAAAAAACCTTTCTCAGAGGTCTTTTGTGAGTATAATAACCTCTTGAGAGGTCTTCTATATGTAAAATATTCTCCAGAGAGGTCTTCTATAAGTGGAATAACCTCCAGAGAGGTCTTTTTTAGGTATAACAGACTCCTGAAAGGTCTTCTATAAGTAGAAGAACCACCTGAGAGTTCTTTTGGAAGTAGAAGACTCTCTAGAGAGGTGTACTCTAAGTAGAAGAGCTCTCTGAGAGGTCTTTTATAAGTAGAAGAGACTGCTGAGAGTCCTTCTCGAAGGAGAAGAGCCTCCTGAGAGGTTTTCTGTAAATGGAAGAGCCTCCTTAGAAGTCTTCTATAGGTAAAATAGTCTCCTGAGAGGTCATCTGTAAATGAAAGAGCCTCCTGAGGGGTCTTCAATAGGTTAAAGGCCCTCCTGGGAGGGCATATAAAAATAGAAGAGCCTCATATAGGTCGATGAGCCTACTGAGGGGTCTTCTATATGTAAAAGACCCTTCCGGGGGTGTCTTCTTTAAATTGAAGAGCCTCCTGAGAGGTATTTTGGAAGTAGAAGAATCTTTGGAGAGGTGTACTCTAAGTAGAAGAGCCTCCTGAGAGTTCTCCAAGTAGAAGAGTCTCCTGAGACTTCTTCTTTATGTAAAATATGTTCTTGAGAGGTCTTCTATAAGTAGATGAGAACAGCCTGAAAGGTCTTCTGTAGATAAAAGGACATCCTGAGAGATCATCTATAAATGGATGAGATTCACGGAAAGTCCTCAATAGGTTGAAGACCCTCATGAGAAGGCATATAATAGTAGAAGATTCTTATGAAAGGTCTTCTATAGGTCGAAGAGACTCCTGAGAGGTTTTCTGTAAATAAAAGGGCCTCATAGAGGTCCTTAATATGTTGAAGAAGGCATATAATAGTAGAAGAGCCTCCTGAGAGGTCTTTAATAGGTCGAGCCTAGTGAGGGGTTTTCTGTAAGTAAAATAGCCTCCTGAGAGGTCTTTTATAGATAAAAGAGTCTTCTGAGATGTCTTCGACGTTTTAAAGAGCTTCTAAGAGGTCATCTAAAATTAGGATATCCACCTGAAAGGACTTCTGTAGGTGGAAGAGCTTCCTGATAGGTCATATGAAGGTAGAAAATCAGCCTTAAAGGTCCTCTTTAGGTTTTAAAGAATCCTGAGGGGTTTTCTATAAGTAAAGGAGCCTGCTGAGAGGTCTGCTATCCTCATAAGTTGTCACCTGAAAGATCCTCTGCATGTAGAAGAGCCTCCTGAGAGATTTTCTGTACGAAGAAGATTTCCGGAGAGGCCTTCTATAAGTAAAGGAATCTCTAGAGACGTCTTCTGTAAGAGGAAGAGCCTCCTAAGAGGTTTTCTGGAAGTTGAAGTGCCTTCTAAGAGTTCTTCTATGAGTAAAAGAGCCTTCTGAGAGGTCTTCTATAAAAAGAAGAACCTCCTAAGAGTTCTTCTATAAAGAAAATAACCTTTTGAGAGGTCTTCTTAGAAGATCCTTAAAGGAGACCTTATATAATAAGAAGGCCCTTCTGAGAGGTCATCTAAAAGTAGAAAGAGGACTTCTGTAAGCAAATAACGCTCCTGACAGGTCTTCCGGAAGTAGAAGGGTGTCCTGAAAGGTCTTCAGTGAGTAAAGGAGCCTCCTGAAAGGTTTTCAGTAAGTAAATGACCTTCCTGAAAGGTCTTCTACGAGTGGAATATTCTCCTGAGAAGTCTTCTATAGGTCGAAGATCCTCCAGAGAGGTCATCTATAAGTAAACGAGTATCCTCAGACGCCACTTATAAAGTTGCAGACCCTCCTGAAAGCTCGTCTGTAAGTAAGTAAGCCTCCTAAGAAGTCTTTTATCAGTATGAGACCCTTCTGAGAGGTCTTCGATAAGTCGAACGCCCATCTGTATGATCTTTTATATGAAAGTACCCTCTAGAGAGGTTTTTATCCTCTAAAGATGGCTTAAGTAGGTCGAAGATCCAAGCCTCCAGAGGTATTTTATCAGTGTGAGACCCTTCTGAGAGGTTTTCTATAAGTCGAATGATCTCCTAAATGATATTTTATATGAAATTACACTCTAGGGATATTTTTACAAACAGAAGAGGTCTTCTATAGGTAGAATACCCTATGGACCTCCATAAATTTAAGTTTTTTAATATATAATAGGTCCTCTATAGGCTTAAATTTTTAGGCATGTAAAAAAAATTAAAAAGATTCTCCATAGCTCTCATTTATTTTATAAATTTTTTTTCAAGGTTCTCCAGAGACCTGTTTTTGAATTATATTTTTTTGTCCTCTATAGTTCCGTTTTATTTTAAGTTTTTTTATTTCATTTAAAATTAAATTTTTAATATTTTTAATTATTTTTTAATATTTAATAATTTCTTTTTTATAAAAAATATCAATTTTTTATAAATTTTATACTTTCCCCCTTTCCATTACCATTTTGAAAAATTTATCGTCTATAGACACCTTAACATTTGTCACATTGAACGTTACTTGACAACCCTTGTCTACTACTAACTACTACACAATTGTGCATGCCTGACTGCCTGATTTGACAGTTGTCACAAGACCCAATAATCACATATGACTTTATTGTAGATTTTCTTCGTCCCCATTGAATTTTTGTCGTGTACGGAGAAAATTTTTTTTTGGAAAAAATTTTCAGCAGAACCTGATTTTTTGGAGAAAATTTGTGTAAAAAGAAAGAAAATAAACAAAGATGTCTGGAAAGGATAGGTTACCAATTTTCCCTTCTCGTGGGTAAGTAAAAAAGGAAAGAAAGACAAACACAAAGAAATTTGCATTGCAATGTTTTTCTTGACATGAACAATTTTGTTAGAGTGAGTGGTTGGATGTGGGATAATCATGTTTTTTCCTTTGCAGTGCCCAAATGTTGATGAAGGCTCGTTTGGCTGGTGCCCAGAAGGGTCATGGTTTGCTGAAAAAGAAGGCTGATGCCTTGCAAATGCGTTTCCGTATGATTTTGGGTAAAATCATTGAGGTAAGTGGTTTGATCGACTTCAATGGGTGTAAATTATGTTATGTATGTGTGTGTGTTTTTTTTCCTTTCTTCCAGACCAAAACTTTAATGGGGGAAGTTATGAAGGAAGCTGCCTTCTCCTTGGCCGAGGCCAAGTTCACAACCGGTGACTTCAACCAGGTGGTGTTGCAAAATGTCACCAAGGCCCAAATCAAAATCCGCACCAAAAAAGACAATGTGGCTGGTGTTACCCTGCCCGTTTTCGAATCCTATCAGGATGGTGCCGATACCTATGAATTGGCCGGTTTGGCTCGTGGTGGTCAACAATTGGCTAAATTGAAGAAGAACTATCAGAGTGCCGTGAAGCTGTTGGTTGAGCTGGCCTCCTTGCAGACCTCCTTTGTGACCTTGGATGAAGTCATTAAGATCACCAACAGAAGAGTTAATGCCATTGAGCATGGTGAGTTTTGCACAAATGTTTTTCATTTGAGAGTGGAATTAATCTGAATTTTCAATTTCAGTCATCATTCCCCGTATTGACCGCACCTTGGCCTATATTATCTCCGAATTGGATGAATTGGAACGTGAAGAATTCTACCGTTTGAAGAAAATCCAAGATAAGAAACGTGAGGCCCGTTCCAAACAGGAAGCCCACAAGGCTGAATTGTTGAAGAAGGGTATCGATGTACGTGAGGTGGCCAACATCTTGGATGAGGGTGATGATGATGTGCTATTCTAAGTTCGCATTACTTTGTAAAATTAAAAAGAAAAAAACAAGCAAAACAAACAACAAAAAGAGAGAGAGAGGAAGAAAAAACAATAATAATAATATTACAACAACAACCACACACTTATGCACAGTGTTTTAAGTAATAAGTTGAAAAATAGATAAAATTTTTAATTATTGTTGTTTTTTTATTATTAGTTGCCCAGCACTTTTTTGTTGTTCTAATTTTTTTAATGTCTTCCCTTCCATTTTTTAAAAAAAGACGCTAAGACCTAAAAGACATTACACAGTATTGTTGTTTCCATTTTTTTGTTTGTTGTGGACCAAGTGTCTGTCACACCTTTGTTTGTCTTCTTAGACGTTTTTGTTGTTCATCAGTTACTAAAAAATTCCATAAATTTATAAAAACAAATAATCTACTGCTGTATTATATTAAAAAAAATAATTACAAAAACAAAAACTTCATAGAATATATTGTTAAGATTTGCCTGTAATTATGGTATTTCAAAATAAAACAAAACTATTATTATAAATGTTAAAGGAAATTTTCAAAATTTTGCAAATTATTTTTAAATTAAAAAATCTACATTTAAGGGGAAGGGGGTAATAAGTGATAATTCATGTCTTATCTGCTAGTTTTATTTTTTTATGTGTAGTTGTGCGACAAACATAACGGTACTTTGCACACAGGCCGTCAAGTGCCGAAATAGCTCAGTTGGGAGAGCGTTAGACTGAAGATCTAAAGGTCCCCGGTTCAATCCCGGGTTTCGGCAGACAGAATTTTTTTTAAAAAATATTTTTTTAATTCAAGAAATATAAAAAAAAGAATTTTTTTAATAGAAAAAATTAAAAAAAAACATTTCTTAAAAAAAATTTTAAATATTTTTAATAAAGAATTTTTTTTGATTCACGAAATATACAAAAATATTTTTGAATAAAAAAAATCAGAAAATATATTTTTTAATCTAAGAAATATAAAAAATATTTGTTATTAAGAAAAGCGTTAGACTGAAGATCTAAAGGTCCCGGGTTTCGGCAGACCGAAATTTTAAAAAAAAAAATCTTTTTTTTTAATTCAAGAAATATAAAAAAATATTTTTTAATAAAAAATTCGGAACATATTTTTTTAATCCAAAGCAATTTGAGAAAATATATATTTTTTTTTTTGTTAAAAAAATGGAAAAACATTTTTTAATAAAAAGGATCATAAAAATTTAAAAAATCACTACAAATATACATTTTTAGAAAAATTGAAAACTCTATTGAAATTCAAGAAAAATAAAAAACAATGAGAAAACATTTTTTTAATCAAAAAAAAAAAAATTTTTGAAATTTAATCAAGACCTATTTCAATTTTTTTTTTAAATGTATAAGCGTACATTGAAAGAGAGAAGAGCACAAAAAAAAATTTTTTAAGTAAATTAAAAAAGAAAAAAACATTTTCAAATATCTACACTCCAAGCTCTTTCTTTCTCTCTTCTTCTTCCTCAAACTATGTACCATAATGTTTATATGGGAATGTGTCATAGGCATAAAAATTGCAAAAAAATTGGAGAAACGTTTATAAACCAAATTTCAAACTTGTTTTTGAAACCACCCCTCCTTTCTCTTTGCCCAACCACCTTTCATACATTGTTTCCTTTCATCCATTATCCTTTGCCACCATCCCATCAACAGTCTTAACTTTATCTTTGAGTTTTCCATCAACCTCTTCCCTATTGCCGAAATAGCTCAGTTGGGAGAGCGTTAGACTGAAGATCTAAAGGTCCCCGGTTCAATCCCGGGTTTCGGCATTTTCAGTCCAATTTATATTGGAGTTTCCTTTTTGACAGCAGCAAATTGAAACTCAAAAGTATTTGGATAAAATTATTTCATGGATGGAAATAGATATGACATAGAAATTCTATGTCATATCTATTTTATGATATAATTTAAATTCTATGATAGAATTTAAAAAAATTTCCTTTCCTACTTGCCCAAGAATATTTAATAAAATATTTTTTTATTTTATTTTATAATTTATTTCTAGTTTTTTATAAGCCTGGATTTAAAAAATAAAACATTTTTCATAGCCCTCTCTGCCCAGGAATGTTTTTTTTTAATATTTGTTCAAGGTCCTCTGTAGGCGGGGATATTTTAAACATTTTTTTCAGGGTTCTTTTGGTACATTTGAATTTTTTAACAATTTTTTATGGTTCCAATTTTTTAAAACATATTTTAAAGACATTCACAATTAAATTATTTTTAAAAACTATTGCACATGGTTCTCAAAAATATTTTTTATTTGTTTCTCCTTTGGTGTGGATATCAAAAAAAAATGTTTTTTTCATGGGAATGGCTTTGAAATTATTTGCACAATGACCATTTTTTAATTTCTTTTAAAAAATTAAAAAAAAAAAATAAAAAAAGTATGCTCTGCCGAAACCCGGGATTGAACCGGGGACCTTTAGATCTTCAGTCTAACGCTCTCCCAACTGAGCTATTTCGGCTCGTGTTCATTCCCTTAGCAGTTAATAATTTTCCTAGAATTTTAATTAAATAAACATTTAAAATAAAAAAATATTAATATCCAGCATATTTATTGTTTATTTTATTATTTATAAGCAATTTATTAGCTTAATTTGTTAATAACTAGTTAAACAAATAACTAATTGTTCAACTAATTAACACTTGTTTGTTCATAGCTAGTGATTTTCCAAAGAACGCCTAAAAGCATGCTTTGATTTTTTGTATGACATTTTATGGTTAAACAGCATATGGGTAGAGACTTAAAATGTGACGTGTGGCAAAGTAAGGGCATTGTTGTTAAAATAGAGAAATTATGATTGAAAATAGAAAAATTAATGTTAAAAATTAATAGAATACGTTTATATTGATTGTTTTTAATAAAATAGCATAATTTATTATATTAATTGGACCGTGTTTATATTATATTTGGTTTAATGACATTTTAAGGTTAATCAGCAAAAGGGAGAGACTGAAAATATGACGTGTGGCCAAGTGCAAAGAATTGTTATGACAATAGAGAATTTTTGAAAGAAAATAGAAAAAAATAATGTAAAGGTATTAGAATACGTTTATATTGATTGTTTTAATAAAATATAGTACTTTTATATATTAATTACGCGGTGCTTACATTATATTTGCTTTAATGGCATTTTATCGTTAATCAGCAAATGGGTAGAGACTTAAGGAGTGGCGTGTGGTGAAATAAAGCAATAGAGCATTTATGAAAGGATTAGAAAAAATTAATATAAAATAATATTAATTTAATTTATATTGATTGTTTTAATAAAATATAGTACTTTTATATATTAATTATACGGTGTTTAAATTATATTTGGTTTAATGACATGTTATGGTTAATCAGTAAGGGGGAGACTGAAAATGTGACGTATGGCAAAGTGAAAGGATTTTTATTAAAATGGAGAGATTATGAAAAAAGGATAATTTTAATGTAAAATAATACTAGAATACGTTTATATTGATAGTTTTATTAAAATATAGTAATTTTTATATATTAATTACACGGTGTTTACATTATATTTGATATAATGACATTTTATGCTTAATCAGATAATAGGAGAGACTGCAAATGTGACGTGTGGCAAAGTGAGGGGATTGTTATTAAAATAGGGCATTTATAAAAGAAAATAGATAATATGGTACTTTTTATATTTATTAGACATTGTTTACATTATATATGATTAATTTATGAGGAATTTGGTAGGGCATAGACAGCATCCAATTGTTCTATTGACAGATGTCAGACATCTTGGTATAAAAAATGCAAACATATGATCATGTTAAACGAAATATACAGTGATAAACAATGGAAAATTAATGTTTTGTATTTGTAATCCAGAGTTGTATTTGTGTCCTTTTTGATTTGCTTACCTTTTTTGCTTTACCCAATCTCCTTAAAAAATAATTCGAATTTATTTAATTTTTTTATAAAACTTAAATATATTTAATTTTTATTTAATAAATACAAAAAAATCGTTCTTATAGCTAAAAAAAACCAACACCAAATACTTCATTTTTTATTTACTTTCTCGTTGTAGCTTTCAGCTCTCTATTTCCTTATTCTAAATTTTCTCAAATACTTAGCAGTTATAAGAAACCTTTAAGGTTTTCTATAAATAAACTAAATAATTAATAATTTGTTTTTGTATTTTTTTTCTTCTTTTTTGTGAGAGGGAGATCTGAAAGAATATCAAAAATCCTTTTTTGTCGATTTTCTTCAATTTTTTTTATCGATGATTTGTAAAATGATTTTCGAAATTCTTTCCATAGGTGTGGAAGGAAGTTATTTAAAGGAAAGTATTAGTATAGTATTTATATATTATATAGAAATAATGTTATATAGTATAGTATAAAATATTTGTATGTATGTATAAAAAATCAGTCTTAAAAAACACATAAGTAAAAGATGTATATATAAAAAAGTTCTAAGCTGGGTTTGCGGAGCTGTCACTTTTTTCTATACACCAGACAATTTGATAGCGAATAGTTTTTTTTCTCGTATTAGCTGTCACTTTTTTCGGTATATTAGAAAATTTGACAGCTACTTTAAAATGCTAAATGTCACATTTTTTAATCAGATTCCGCAAACCCTTTTTGTTCGAAAATAGCGCATAACTACTACTAGGCCATAATTATTTGAAATAAAAATAAATATGTCAGAAATAAAATATAATAATAAATACTGAGGCAAATTTTTCCAAAAAAAAAGCCAGGCAATTTTCTGGCAAATTTAAAACTTTCTGACCTTCCACTTTTAGTTTGCAAAATTAGTGCGGGGAAATCATATTTTACTTTGCTTAAAATAATTAACCAGCATTATTAATTATTCAAAATTAAAGTAAAGCTTGACTCCCCCATACATTGCCTTATATTAGGTTTAGACTACATTATAAATGCAGTAACATTAAATATAAATCTAATTAAGTAGCTGGAATATGAAGGGGTAGAATTCCATGAATCCGTTGCCCATATACCAAGTTATACATAATAAATCGAATACTTAACTAATATACCCTACCATATGGCAGAGTATTCGGATAGTAGGGCATAAAGAATTTTGTACCAAAACGAGCTGATTGTGCCGATTCGCTACTGCAAAGAAGAAAACGGAAATGAATAATTTTTTTGTTCTCAATAAATTTTTGTTTTGCAAATATTTACCTTGAACTAAACATCGAGGTGCAAACTTCGGCCCGATGCAAACGGCTGCTATTATTCGATAGGCTACCACAATTGTGTATTGCCGCCATACGTCGTCGCGAGCGTATCAACGAAGTTATGGCCACAACAATTGCCACTAAAAATATTAAACCCAATATACAAAAAGACATGGCCAATTTCGATACGGATAAACAGAGAGTACCATCATTGATTAGTGGACGGACATAGGGTTCATATTCTTCTGCTGGAACGAAAAACAAAATGTAGAATAGATTTTTTTATTGTTTGTACAAGATCTGATGGATATATTGATATGTTTATACTGGTTTATTTATATCCACTGGATTTTCAGGATTTCTTTTGACGTATAAAATGGATATTTACATTAAAGATGGATTTATGAGGATTAATGTAGACATATATATATATATACGGGTTGTTTTATATTTCGGATATTTTGAATTTCATCTCTTACTATAACACCCTTTTCGTTTGTTTTTTATTTACGTACCACTCATATTGTGCCGCCTGTCATAACGTAAACGATCCACTTCAATTTGTGGCGCTGTCACCGCCAGCGAATTAAATACTTCAATGCGTGCCAAATGTTTATCGGAACTTAATATCAGCTTTTCACTGGTGCGGCAATTTACCTGGAAGTAATTAAAAAATAAAAAAATATGATAAAATTAAATAAAAACAATATCAAAAAGAGAGTTTAATATTTTGTATTAACATTTTATATTTTTACACCATTCAAAATATGCAAATAAATATAAAACCTGATTTATTCTGAACATGTTCTATGTAAATCCTCATTTATTTGACTTATAAACCAATGAAAATTAAATTTTAAATGAACATTTATAATAAAACAATTTGGTGTAAACGTGTCCTATGTTAATTTAATATAAATTATTTAGTTTTTAATAAATTTCCCCTATTTGTCTTATTTTTTTGTAGCAAAAATATTTAAAATTGCCTTACAGCTATTCACAACTATTGTATTCACTGAAATGAACTAATGGAACCTAGTGTAAACAAACCCAAAAGTTGCAAGCCAGTAACCGTTAAATGAACAAAGGGAATAGGGAACACAACGACGTTTTTTGTTTTGCAACAGGGAACACTAGATCGTTTTATGTCTACCGCGAAATTAAATTAATTTTATTTAAATTTTCAATAATTAACGGGTGAAATAGCAATTAAACATGATAAAAACAAATAAATTGAATTGCTTTGGAAGAAGTCAAACGGTTTGTTTACATTTTCATGGGATTTATTTGAAATAAAAAGCAAAATGAGGCAAGGAGGAATTTGTTGCTTTGGGAAGCACCGATCAACAGGTATGGAATATCCTTGGAAATTTATATTATTAATTGCTCCCACTCTCCCCCACTTAAAGCATTAACTCCAAAAAGATGACTAGTTGATAATTCCTATAAAATAGCCCCAACTGGGATTGATTGTCCTCTCAAACCTTTAAAGTCAAGCCAAACAAGTCTTGCCATGGGTGGACCGTCTTTCCAGGAAGACTTAAATACAGTAGATATCGGATATAAGAAACTCAAAAAAGCCGGAGATTTCTTTCTTATATGCGTTTTTTTCTTATATGGAATTATATCATACATCTACTGTAATAAATAAATGAATAAATGGAGAAATTGTTTCTTTGGGAAGAATGGATCACCAGGTATAAAATATCCTTTGAAATTTTTATTTCTTAATTAGTTTTCTCTCTTTTAGTCACCCAGAGCATTAACACCAAAAAACGCAAGATATCAACCACCCCACCGAAATTGAATTTCAAAACCAAAAAATTGCGTTCATGTAATTAACGCTTAACTGCTAACTTGCATTTTCATTTGTTACAAAATTGTTCATGTTCGGAGATTGCATTTCTATTTTTGCTGTTTGTTGTGTAATTTATAATCGCTGGCGTGCACGTCATATGAATTGGACCGAGCAAAAAAGTTGCATCTCTCTCTGTGTCTACTTACATTGGGACAACGTCCTTTACACAGCTGTACACCACAGCTAACATGCAGCCGTTCTCGATCCGGAAATTTAAATGCTGGAAATGTGGCCGTATAGGTTTTCTCCACCAGATCTTCTTCGTCGAGTTTGGACCAGCCTTCCTCAGCGGGTTTAATGGTGGTGTGCAAAGCGGGCATGACCTGAAATGAAAAAAAAAATAAACAAACTGATTAGGAATTAGTTTAGAGGTTGCCTGGAAGATAATGTACCAGAGATAAACTTAAATAAAAAGGTCATAACCCCACTTTTAGGGTTTACGTGAATTTCTCGGCTAAAGTGAAAAAATTCAAATTTTTGCAACGGTTCAACTTTCATTTTTTATTGCATAAATTTTGAAACGGACCTGCCTGTTGCTGCATGGCACTCACTTTTTTCGCAAGGTATTTGCACACACATATGAAACAAAATGTTAAATAAATACAATTTTTATTTTAGGTCTGTCTGTCTGGCCAGTATCATTTCAAGCAAACAATGCAATATTTTTTTTTGCTCAAATATTTGCCGGTAAATACATGAAGCGTTAAAACAACACAAAAAATAGTGTAAACTATTTAAGAAAATATAAAACCTCAATTGCATAGACCCTGCTAGGCGGCAGGGTAAATGAACTTTTTACAGAAGTCGGTATGTCTGTCGGTCTGTGTCTCTCTATAGGCATTACAAAAGTGTGTAAAACACACACACAACTCTAATATATTAGATTACATCATTTGTCTGTCTGTTTCTCCGCCTTTGTGGCAGATCGGTTCCGTCACCCAAAAAAACAAAAAAAAAAAAAAATGTGAGAGGGGTAATCTGAGCAAGCAGTTATGACAAACAGCAACAACAAAAAAAATTAATTATTTGATACACTTAGTTTCTTTTATTATTGTTGTTATATTCACTCACACACACATGTGTGTAACATTAGCCCCTGGTGTTATGAAGTGGCTGTGATTTTTTTCCATTTCATTTTTTTATGAGCCACAAATGTGTGTCTGTGTGTGTGGCATGTTGCATTTATGACTGGGTGACTGACATGGGCACCTCAATGATTCAACAACCCTGGGTGTCAAGTTCAATGTTTTTTTTTTTTTTTTTTAATTTTTATTTCATTTTCTTAACCATTCTTTGAATTGGCCAAAGGGAAATGTTTATTTTTTGTCACAATGGGTGGCAAAAAAATATATTAACAATGGGTTGGAAAAAAAATAAATTACTAAAAAAATAAATCTTAAAAAAAATTGAAAAAAAAATTCAAAAAAATTTTAATAAATTCAAAAAAAAATTTTTAAAATTCAAAACAAAATTTTTTGAAAAATTCAAAAAAATTTCATATTTTATAAAATCAAAAGTGCTGAAATTTTAATTTGAAAAATTTCTACCAAATGTGCATTTGGAAACAAATTTTTCTATATAAAAATTCCCTTAAAAAATTTTTTTAAATTTCCATTTTATATTTTTTTCAAAGGAAAAATCCGTTTTCAGTGAATAAAGCAATTTCGTTTACAAAAATATGCATTTTTTACCCCGAAATTTTTTTTTAAATTTCCTATTTTTAATAAAAAAATTAAATTTTTTTATTAATTTCTAAATTTCCACTTTTATATTTTTTAATAAAAAAATCCATTCTAAAGGAAAAAAAAAAATTTTACAAAAATATGCATTTTTACCCCTACAAATTTTTAATAAGAAAATTAAAAAAAAAAAATCCAAAATTTTTTAAATTTTCAATATTATAAATTTTTTCATAGAAAAAATACATTCTAAATGAAAAAAAAAACAATTTTTTTACAAAAATGTGAATTTTTAACCCGAAGATTTGTCATAAAAAATTTTTTAATTTCCAATTTTATAATTTTTTTATAAAAAAAAGTCATTTTGTTTTTCGATTTTTTTTTTAATTTCAATTTTTTTCACAGAAAAAATAAAATCGTTTTTTTGAAAAAAAAAAACCAAAAATAATTTTGGTTTTTAATAAAAAAATTATTTTTTTTATAAATTTTTTTTCGTTTTTTTTTTAATTTTCAATTTTTTTTATAGAAAAAATAAAATCGTTTTAAATAAAAAAAACCAAAAATGATTTTGGTTTTTAATAAAAAAATTATTTTTTTTTTCGATTTTTTTTTAAATTTTCATTTTTTTTTTTTTTTTTTATAGTAAAAATTCGTTCTAAATGAAAAAAAATTGAAAATTGAAAGATTTTAAATTTTTATTTTACATACAATTTTTTACTTTAAACAATTTTTTTAATTTCCATTTTTATAATTTCTTTTTTTTCATAGAAAAAATAAAATCTTTTTAAATGAAAAAAAAAACAAAAATGCAGGTTTTGGTTTTTAATAAAAAAATATATATTTTTATTTCTTTTCCATTTTTTTATTTTCAATTTTATAATTCTTTTTTATAGTAAAAAATCGTTCTAAATGAAAATAAAGTTTTTAAATTATTATTTTACAAAAAAAATTTTACTTTACAATAATTGGAAAAAATTAAAAAATTCGGATTTTTCAATATTTTAATATTTTTTTCGTTTTCTATTTTTTAGTACCTATTTAATTTTTATTTTTTTAAAATTTTAAATATTTTTGTTTTTAGAAAATTTAAATTTTGTTCGTTTTCTATTTTTTTGTAATTAGTATTTAATTTTTATTCATTTTTTTTAAATTTAAAATATTTTTGTTTTAAAAAAATTAAATTTTTTGTTTTCTTTTTTTTAGTTTTTAATTTTTATTTATTTTTTTAAATTCAAAATATTTTTGTTTTTGAAAAAAAATTTTTTTCTTTTCCATCCCACTGTGTACCATTTTTTCCGGCCCATTGGCGTTGTTAATGCTTCATTTGAAGAAAGCGCGTGTTAATTGTTACCACACATCATCGAGGGCCAACAACAACAACAACAAATACAACAACATATGTTCCTGTTCAGTCTTGCTGTTGTTGTTGTGTTATGAGATTTCTTCTTTTGTTTTCATTTTTTTATTATTATTTCATAAATCACAAAAAAGGGAAAAAGCTGTGAAGTACTTGGGCTATGGTCGTTAACAACAACAATAAAATGTAACATGCGTTCAACTACTGTCTGTCTGTCTGTTTGTTTGGTTTGTCTGACTACCGGTTGTTTGTCATCCACAATGACGACGATTTGTTAAAGAGCTTCCCAGCAAATGGGCTTATTGTTGTTGTTGCTGCTGCTGTCTTGTGGGATAAATTCACATAGTAATTCAATTTGTGGTTGTTGTATTTTTTTTTGGCGATAAGTGAAATATTTTTTTTCGGAACGTTTTTAATTGTTTCATATTTTTGAAAAAAAAAATGTTTTTACTTCCGCAAAAGATGAGAAATTGAAATTGAATATCTTTTTGATTGAGGGGGAGGGGGTAAGGGGCAATAATAGGAAATAAAAAAAATCATTTAAAAGTAAAAAAATCATTTATGTAAAAAAAATAAAAAGTATATTTATTAGAATTTTGAAAATCAAAAAAAAAAAAAATAAAAAAAATTTAATTTTAAAAAACGAAAAAATAAAAAAAATATATATCAAATTATTTTGAATTTTTTCTGGAAATACTTTTGGATTTTTTTTTTTTTTAAATATATTTAAAAAAAAATCATTTTTTTGAAATAATTTTGAAAAAAAATATTTTTTTTTTGAAATGCTTTCGAAAAAATTAATTTTTTTTGAAATACTTTCAAAAAAAAATTATTTTTTGTATAGTGTTGAAGAAAAAATTATTATTTTGAATTTATTTTCAAATATTTTAAATTTTTTTTTAAATACTGTTGAAAAAAATATTTTTTTAAATACTTTTGAAAAAAATATTCTTTTGAAAAAAAATTTTTTTTTCAATTATTTAGAATTTTTTCAATTATTTAATTTTTTTTCATTTTTTTTGCTTGAAATAATAATTCAAAAGATTTAAGACAAAAACACAATGTCATCTGGTTATTAAAACAACGGTCTCTTCTCTCTCTCTCTCTCTCTCTTTCTCTTTCATTCCCTCCATTTAATAACACCGTATCAAAGACTTAAAACACAAACCTTGTAATGTAATGAACATTTTTTTTTCAATTATTTTGAATTTTTTTTCAATTATTTTGAAATTTTTTTCAATTATTTTGAATTTTTTTTCAATTATTTTGATTTTTTTCAATTATTTTGATTTTTTTTAATAAATTTGAATTTTTTTCAATTATTTTGAATTTTTTTTTATATATTTTTTTTTACAATTATTTTTAATTTTTTATTTTAAATAATTCAAAAGATTTAAGACACAAACACAATGTCTTCTAGTAATTAAATAAAGGGTATCTTAGTGATAACTCTGCCACTCTCTCTCTTTCTCTTTCATTCATTTCCTCCATTTAATAACACCTTACCAAAGACTTAAGACACAAACCTTGTAATGTAATGAACATTTTTTTCAATTAATTTGAAATTTTTTAATAATTTTGAATTCTTTTTTTCAATTATTTTGAAATTTTTTTCAATTATTTTGAATTTTTTTCAATAATTTTGAATTTTTTTTTTAATTATTTTGAATTTTTTTTCTATTAATTTGAATTTTTTTCAATTATTTTGAATTTTTTCAATTATTTTGAATTTTTTTTCAATTTTTTTTCTTGAAAAAATAATTCAAAAGATTTAAGACACAAACACAATGTCTTCTGGCAATAAAAAAACAACGGTCTCTTAGTGATAACTCTGTCTCTCTCTCTTTCTTTTTCATTCATTCCCCTTATTTAATAACACCTTACCAAAGACTTAAGACACAAACCTTGTGTAATGTAATGATAACGGCAGGTGTTGTTCTCTCATCACTCCATTGGCTTTTAATATGTTTGTGTGGGAGAGAGAGACAAAGAGGTGAATTAAGGACAGAAGACTTAAGACACAAACCTTGTAAGGTAATAATAACGGCAGGTGTTGTTGTTTTCATCACTGCATTGGCTTTTAATATGTTTGTTTTGGAAAGAGAGAGATAAAGAGGTGAATTAAGGACAAAAGACTTAAGACACAAACTTTGTAATGTGATAACGGCAGGTGTTGTTCTCTCATTACACCATTGGCTTTTAATATGTTTGTGTGGGAGGGAGAGAGAGACATGGAGGTGAATTATTATCAAAAGACTTAAGACACAAACCTATTAAACGAATGATG